TACCTTGTGGCTCCATATTGCCATTTGGCAACAGCCGGCCGAAAAGGAACAAAAAATTTGAAATTTTTTTTTTTTCGTTTTCAGAACTCACAATGCACTATTTAGTGCTGTTTCATTTATTAATAAAGTTATTAAAATCACAAAAAAGTTCAGTTAAGCATAGAGAGACGAGACAAACAAATAATAAAACAAAAAAGTAGAATAAGTATCACATCAGAAAAGACGCATTAATTATGATAATTACTAAAACAGTTACTGTTTTCATTCAAACATAAACGAATTTTACATTTAGAACAAGATATTCTTGTATACCAATTGCAGGCATTATTTCGACAACGTCCTTTTGATGTTATTGTAGGCCAATGATCATATTTATCGAACCATATACTTGAAGGTGGGGCTGCAGCTGGTGTAGCTCGTGAAATTGTTGTTCAATTATTTTCATTTAATTTTAATTCTAATGATGGTCGACCATATTTTATGATAGGTGGTGGTGGGCTAGATTTAAGTAAAACAGTAGCAATATTTATGCGAAAAGTCAATAAAGACATTATATCCTTTTTTGGAAGCTTTAGTTGCCAACAGTGGCGTGGGTACAATAACCATGCATTGACAACTAACAAATCAATAAGATGAAAGATGATTTTTATATAATACTTTTTAGATTCAACGTTTATTTGATACAAAGAAATTAACATGTCGATTAAATCGACTCCTCCCATATGTGCATTATACGCCTGTATGATCTTCGGTCGTTCTATGAGAATATGTTTCTTTTGTTTTGGTGACTATCGTTGCACTGACTCAATCGGTTCACAACCGTGCAATGTAGGAAGACAACTAACTACATTATTATCATACCATCGTGTCACGCATAATTGCACCCCTTCAACTTCTGTGACACGATGATCCATTATACCCCTACCTTCCCTTGATAAATCTTTTTCATTTTTGATGTTTAAATCAATTAATCGATTTGGTCTTACCGTACCAATTGCAAAAATGCCTAACTTTCTCAACTCTACCTGTAAACGAATAGTTGTAAAATAATTGTCAAAATATACTTTGTGATTGATAAAACGTGGCACAGTTTCACAAAGATCCAATACAATATCTGT